GTATGAATCAAATGTAAAGTCTAATGTTATTGATGCTAATTTTAACAATAATACAATAATATTATTTTCGAAAATGCCCATATGAATGTGAATATTTTGATTATTATTATATAAAATAATTAAAAGAATAAGGTAAATAGAAAAGTAAAATGCATGGTTATACCACTTTCCTTTTAATCTATAATTAGTTAGGTATGAATCAAATGTAAAGTCTAATGTTATTGATGCTAATTTTAAGAAGATCACAAAATGTAAATTAAAATAATTACAATATAATTTTCTACTTTGAGAATGAACAATATAGTTAAACTCAAAATTGAGAATACTCTTATACATTTTTGAACTCTTTTGGATAAATTTTTTTTTCTAATTTTTGATAAAGTTAATTTTAATATTTAAAAGTATTTAACATTTTGAATTCTGAAAGGTTTTCTCTAATAGCAAATTTAAAAACATAATATTCAAAAAATATTTTAAGATTGTGAAGTCTCGGGTTGTATTTCGCTTGAGCGACACTACTCTCGCTCGAGCGAAATTCGATACTGATCGATCATAATTTGAAATGATCGATCATAATTGAGAGGATATAATAGCGCTTCCACGTTAACCGCTATCTCAAGTGTATATTAGATAGCGGTTAAGGTTTAACCGCTATTAGAAGTGCCTTTAAGAGCGCTTCCAAGTGGAACCGCTATCATATACAACCATATTTTAAGATTGTTAAGTCTCGGGTTGTATTTTGCTTGAGCGACACCACTCTCGCTCGAGCGACGCGACCTGCACAAAATTGTATTCTCGGGTTGTTTTTCGCTTGAGCGACACTGATCTCGCTCGAGTGACATCCACATTTTTCGATTATGATCGATTACATTTTTAAATGATCGATCATATTTGGAAATATATAATAGCAGTTAAGATTTAACTGCTATTATAAGTGCTATATAATAGCGGTTATAATTTAACCGCTATTAGAAGTGCTATTATAATAGCGGTTAAGAGGTAACCGCTATCATATACAACCACATTCGCGCTTATCCCTAACTCTCGCGCCTCACTCACCCATTCCTCTTAACCTTGGCCAGCATCTCCTCCTCACTCCCGGCGAGCCCTAGCCCCCTCACTCGCTCCCCCAAGTCAGCCCTCACCCTAATCCAACCTCCACCAAAGATCCTCGTCAACCGCACGCCACCCTCGTCGCCCACCGCTCCATCGCGAATCCCCGCGCTTCTCGTGAGCACCGCACCCCAACACCCGTTGTTTGGACCCCCAAACCCCGGCCATCACCACCGCCTCCCCGGCCACCATCGTGGCCATCCCTAAATCTCAACCTAACCTCCACCATCGAGGTCTTTCCACGCCTTAGTTGCCCCAATCGTGCCATTGAGTTCCCCGCGAACTAGAGGTGAGTCGAGAGGGTCGCGGGTCAAGCGCTTCGGTTCACATTTTGCTGCTATGTTCTATTTCTTTTATGCCTTTTTACTATGGATTGTTCTCCTTGGTTAAGGATGAATTGTGTGTGGGTCTCGGTTTAAACCGGTTAGTTGTGGACGAGTCTAAAAACCTTGATTGCATACCATTTTTTAAAACCTTGATTATAGAATGCAGAAGGTGTCTTATGTCCTGTTAATGATTTGAACTTGTGCTCGACAAACAGATTGAGAAAATGGAGAATTTCTTGAAGGAACCTAAGGGAGGATCATTGGACGAAGAATTCTACCAAAAACTTGCTGGAAGTTTCAAGTGAGTTCGCTTTTCACCGGTTGTTAGGTTATTTTCCAAGTAATAGAAGAAGTATTGTCATTGAGGAGTGTTGGAATGTGATGTTTGTGCAGTCGTTCCTCGGTCGTGCTTGGGAAGCCTCGTTATAAAATGGACAGAGGTTAATGTTCTTTCTCACTAACTCATGTATTTTATTTCCGTGGGTTCCTGTGCGGCATCCTTCAAATATTGTTGTTTTCCTTTTCCTATATTCTTAGATGGTTGTGCCTTTTTTTATGTAGTTTTTAATTAATCCTTTATTTTGGAGAAATTCTAGATTGAAAGTTGGTTTCAGGCTAGGCTCCAAGACTTAGCACTAGTCCCTAACAGTGAGTTGATGGTTCCTAAATGTAAGGAAGGTGAGTCTTTTGGTGGACCTTATGGTTCTTAGCATAGTAAGTTGTTATGTTGTCTTCAAGTATTCAAATGGTCAACATTAGATTTATTTAATATAATTGCAGTGTTTTTCATTGCTGCTTGAGTTATGGTAGGTTGCCTATTTTATTTTATGTCTCTCGTGTCTATGCTGTTTGTCATCACATATTCAAATATTCAACATTGAATTATTTAAAATAATTGCAGTGTCTAGCATTGTTGCTTAAGTGATGACTTTTACGTTAAGCTCGTTTTATGTTATTAGGAACATGTTTGGTAGAAGATAATATGATACTTGAAGATGAGGAATAACTTGGCAGTAATGAAGGAACATGAAAGTGATAATAACATTCCCACCATAAAAAATTTTTCACTTTCTATTTTCCTTCTATTTTTGTATAGCTAGTCGCTACAGCTTGTATTTATTGATATATTTGAGGAAACTTCTAATAAAATGAGTTATCTTGTGAGATTGTACCTGGACTGATTGTTTTACGTAAGTTATGCGAGATCCATCGGAGTTGGAATTTGAAGCAAGATCATCAAAAGATGGAGCATAGTGAGAACATGCAGATTATTTCGGTTAGCTTAAATTTTCCTAGCCATCACTCGTTCATGAAGTATTTTAAATTTTAATGTATCTGAATCAAAAGGTTTCCTTATATACCTTTCCCAAGCATTCAAGAAAAATTCATGCAAACTTCTCCACCTTTTTGGAGGTCCTCTAACTACTGATCCCTTCGTCATATATCCGTGTTCCCTTGACATGTATTCCATATTGGTATAACCGTTGCTTGAAGTCTTCAATTGTGGAATAAACCTCTAGTTCTCGGTTCATGATCAAGACTCATATCCCAGTGATAGTGGAATGGAAAAAGTAATTTAAATATGGATGCACCAATATCTATTCAGGTCATCTTATTATTAATTTATTATTGTTTTTACCAATTGGTCCACATTTCATGGATGAGAATGCATTTTAACTACTAACTACTAAGCATTCATTATGTAATACAATTGTGTCCAATTGATATAATTAAAAATGTAAATAAATAAAAATAATTAACTTTGTTATTAATTTAACGACCAATTTAGCGACCGAATTTTTGGTTGCTACAAATTTATTATAATATGCAATTCAAATTTAGCGACCGATTTAAATGATTATTTAAATAATTATATTAATATATTAGCGATCGAATATATCGATCGCTATTTTTTAAAACATTACCACGGATTTAGCGAATCGATTTATTATATAATTTTTGGTCGCTATTTTGGTCTTCAAAGAATAAGTGACCAAATTATTTAGCAACCACTTTAGCGATTATCGAATTGGTCGCTATTTAGCGACCGAAATGTAAATTGGTCGCTAACCAATTAGCGACTTGCCCTTTTGCGACCAACCATTTCCGTCGCTAAATTCGGTCGTTAATAGAATAGCGACTGATTTTTAGCCATTAGCGACCGATTTTTTCGGTCGCTAAAAGCGTTTTTTCTTGTAGTGAAACACGCGTTTTTGTCACCTTACACTACAAATCCGTTGTCCATCATGAAACTCATATAAAGTTTTATAGTAGAGTAATGATATATAGACTATTATAAAAAAAACATTTGATATAATAAGTTCATCTATTAATATTATTTTTATAATAAAAAATATAAATTTACATTATTTTTCTTTTATTTCCTCATTCAAGAATTTGTCTATTGGTTATTTATCCAAAAAGTGCGTGGTGAAATTATCAATTTTCATATGATCACAAACAATGAAACACAAAATGATACAATGTTAATGAACCAAAGCCAGGTTCAAGTCAACCTTACTTAATTTCCTCCTATGTTGGTGCAAGTCAAGGACAATAAAATAAAATAACTTTCACAAGAAATGACATGATAACCACCAAATCTCTACCCACTCAATAATATATGAGTATAAATGGAAACCAAACCTCCATGGCCAACTTTAGTCAAAAACTTCTAGTAACCCTAAACCCAAAAAAAAAACATTAAAAAAAGAAGAAGAAGGAAATTATTTAAAAATAATAAGGTAATTAAGGACATATTAATTTTAATTTTTTCTTTGTGCTCTTAATTAAGTTATATAATTAATAATAATTAAGAATCTATTATATTATTATAGATTTTCTTTTCTACATATTTAAACATTAGTTTGCTGGTTTTTCCCTTTTAAAAAAAATCTTAAAACTAGAAAATAACATATATTTAATTCTATTTGATTTTTAAAAATTGTTTGAAATTGGCTGGTGTTCATATAAAAATAATTCCAACCAAACATGCTAATAATTAACGTTATGGGATATTTATAATCATTAATAATAACTACTACGTGTAAAAGCAAAAGCTTTAATGCAATTATCTAAAGGTGATGAAATGAATCTTCTCTTTCCATTACTTTTTTTATATATATAAAATTTAAATTTGAGATATTGGCTAATCAAATGAAACTCAAATTTACTTGAAAGAACATATTGGTTTTAATGTTGACTATTTAGTTAAAAACATATCATGGGTGGAACATCAAGTTTTTCCAATAAATTATTACCATAAAACAAACATTTCATTGCTTTCTAGAATCCCAAAAGTCAGGTGCTGAAGGAAATATATAATTCAAACAAAAATCTTCACTCCAATGACACCGTCAATTACTCGAAATTTTCTTCTCTCCCTACGTATTCTAGAAACAAATCCCGTAACATGAACGTTAAATTATGCACCATGTTTCTTATTTTTTTCTTTTCTTTCTAGTTCAACTATATATACGTTTATCTGTGTTTCACTTCCGTTATTCTCAACTCTTCCAACCACAACATTCTTTCTCTTTTAACTAAATAATTGTTTCCGTTATGAAACACTCTGAGTTCGAGTTCCCCGCAACCGTTGCTGTTTCCAGCGCTGTACCCGACGACGTCGTTTTCTGCGGCAAAGTCATAACGCGCCGAACCGAAAGCGAGACGCGGTTACTGTTGAGGTCGGATTCTTCAGGTCGAACCAACGGCTTCGTGGCGTGGCTCCGGTCGCCTTCCGGGAGGGAGAGTAGGTGCCGGAGGAGCGAGAGTTTCAGCCGGCGGTATAACGGGATGTTTGGGGCGGTGATGAAGTTTCCTCTGCAAATGGAATTAGGTGACATTAAGATGAGGCAGGAACGGAGAGAGTCGCGACCTCCGCCGCCGAGAGTTATGGTGAAGAACGACGGCGGAGAGAGTTGCTGGGAACTGGTTCGACCATTGAGGCGTAGGGGAACATTAAAAAATGCCTTGTTTGGATGCATTCCCATTGTTTAGGATGTTTTTTCTTTTCATTTATTTATCTAATTTCTTATTTTAATGAATACCTTATTTATTTATTTATGTATATATTGTTAAAATTGGATACAAGTTTAGAGGTTGCATTCCATGAAGTTTGTATTAATAAAATTATTTTTAATGATTAAAAATATACAAAATTATATTGAAAAAATATAATACCATAATTTATAAAGTTAAAAACAAAAATAAAACATAATTTATAGATTTTTAACATTTAATATATATATATATATATATATATATATATATATTACTAACAATACAGAAAAATGATTGAATATTTAGAAAATTTAGTTATTAAATTTAAAACTATTTTAACTAATTTAGTTTCTGAGTAAAATTTAAATTAATTTTTAATACTAGGTATCAATAGTTATTGAAAATTAACATTTAAATTAGTCTCTAATTAAATTAATAACTAATTTACCATTTAAAACTAATAATTTAGTGTTTAATAAAAAATTTTATTAAAAAATAAATTTTCAATATAAATAATTATTTTTAATGATGATAATGCAAAATAAAAAATAACTGATAGTTTAAGTTAATTTTGTTTTAAACAAATTTAAACTTTTGATGTATGAAGTTTTTTTGTTAAACCAATTTATTGATTTATTTATGGACTAATTCAGAGTTTGTGCATAGTTGATTTTACGGATTTAGTGAAGTACGTGCTTCATATTTTTCATTGTTCTTAAATAAATGTTTGTTATTTGAGAATTAGATTGGGTTAAATTTGATAAACATGTTTTTTTATAAAATAATAATAATAATAATAATAAATATTTATTTTTAAAATAATTAAAATATTTTATCTGTTTTATATGCATAATTAAAATTGAAAACTAAGTGGCAAAATATGGATTTGAAAAAACATATTTGTAGATCATGAATTGTAGAATATATGTGTTAGTGGCAAATCGAGAAAAGCGATCGAAATCGAAGGAAAGAAATGTGACTCGATAAGATAAACAAAAATTCATTCGATGTCTAATTAGAAATACGTAGCATATAGCATCGAGAAGCACAATCGAGAATCGAATGAATAATAATCAAATGATTGTTGTCGAATAAAAACTAAGTCATATAAGACCAGGGTTAAAAAGGAATCGTAAGCAATTCGAAGTTCTCGAAAAATACGAGAATCGAGAGTAAAGAAAGCCAATGTGGACATCGAGACTTTGGCCAAATCGTGAAAGGAAGTAAGTCGAATGCACGTATAAAGAGCAGCTTTGAAATCATGGGAAAAAGTCGGAGATCGTGAGAACGTGGGAAACTATAGAAGATAAACTGTCATGCGCACGTAGAACGTGGTAGCAGTCGTGTTAACTGCTCTTGGAAGGCTTGAAGGATGCCCTATAAATAGAGCAAAGGAGGAAGGAACAAGGGCAGAAATTGGCAGAGAACAGAATCAGTAGTGAAAAGTCTACCGGAGAAACGACGAACACCATGAAGCTTCTGGCAATCTGGATTTCCTTGCTCACTGAGTACATTTACCGCTTTCTGTATTTTCCTTGGTAATTTATTTTGATGCAACTTAAATTCAGCAGTTTTATGTTTCTGTATTTTCGATTCCTCGTCCATTTCAATTCAATGAAAATTTAAGTTTATGCATTTAAGTTTCCATGTTATTTAATGTTCCGCAAATCTCGATTTTCTCGTCACTTACTTTTCTTGCAATCTCGATTTCTTGTCATTTATATTTGCACTATTTTCGATTCCTCGTCATTTACAATTGATGCAAATTTGGATTTTCGCTCTTTACATTTTCTTGCAATTTAACATTGTTTCTTGATTCGATACTTTTACTGCTTTCGATACTTTAAAATACAAAATACCAAAAACAGCATTTTCGATATCCTGTAATTTTCGATTCTCATACACGTTTTCGATTGAAAATCAAATTGCTAGCCTAAGTAAAAAGAGCTTACGTGGGAGGATTTCGATTAAAGACCAAAATACCCTTAGAATCGAAATCGATCGAAATTCCACCAGAAACAAATTGGCGCGCCAGGTAGGGGAGTCTTGTGTTGAGAAACACAAAATTGGTTAGTTCGAAATTGTATGAGATTAAGGAGTGGGAGAGTCATGAGTCGAGTTCATCAAATAACCAAGGTAACAGTGAGGGATTAAATGGGTCACACCCACCAAATACTGGGGGGCAAAACCATAATGGGAACACGCCTGTAGTATCGACAACTGTAAGTATGTCGATACCCGTGAGTAATGAACAAAATTCAGGCACTTTAGCGAATACTCAAATAGGATCTAGTGTGGTTGCACCAAATAATACGCAAACTATAGGAAATCCCACCACTACATATGTAGGGCCACGTATGAGCGTAAGACCGCCCTGGTTTTCACTTAATAGTGTAAGTGGGGTTGGAACTTCTTCGACGCATAGGAATTCGAGATATAACTTAGGAATGTCCCAAACACTAGGTATGCCGCAAAATTTTGGAATTCCTCCGAATTTAGGGACATCTCAAAACTTAGTAATTCCCGGACAGGGAGTGGACAGAATGTAGGCACACAACAGTATATCTCCAAATCTAGATCATAGGGGAAACTTAGAGCATGGGAGACATGTATTCGACGGAGACTATCATCGATCTAATTTTGATTCTATTGAAAACATGGGTACCGGAATATCTAGTAATTCATTAGGGGTACTTAGACAACAAATGGATGAGAGTAATTTTGAAATGGTGAATATGTTATCACAACAGCTTGACCACAGTCTTAAATCCATTAGTGCAAAACACTAATGCTAGTTTTGAGATATTAGCGGACCAAATGTCACGAATCGGGGATGCATTGGCTATACCTCGACAAACGAGGGTAGAAAATCATGCTACTAATAATCCCCGTATCTATTGAGGAGAAATAGAAACAATGATCAACATCAAGCATATGGGAAATGGGTACCAACACGTGAGGAATGACATTTATGGGAATTTGAACGAAGGATTTCAAAATATACACAATCAGAATAATATGTTGGGACAAAGGATGAATTTACAAGGGATGGAATTTAGACCACCCAATCAGACATATTTTGTGTCTCCCTTTCCGAATGCGATTCTCGAGACGTAATTGTCTCGAGGATATAAAGTACCCAAATTCACTAAATTTGCTGGAGAAGTTGGTGAATCGACCATCGAGCATGTAGCTCGATATCAGATCGAATGTGGGGATTTAGCGATGAGTGAAGAATTAAAGATGAAATATTTTCCTAGTTCTTTAACTAAGAATGCTTTTACTTGGTTCACTTCGTTGCCATCCAATTCGATATATAATTGGTTGCAGTTAGAGAGAAATTTTCATGAACAATTTTTTAGAGGAGAGACTCAAGTAAGTCTCATCGATTTGATGAACATAAAACGATACAACCATGAGAGTATAGATGATTATCTAAATCGATTTAGACAAATGAAGTCGAGATGTTTTACTCAAATTCCTGAATACGAATTAGTCAGGATGGCTTCTGCAGGTTTAGAATTCTCGATCAGGAAAAAATTAGTCAATTTACCACTGAATGACATGACTCAATTAGCCAATAAAGTGAGAAGAGTGGAACAAATAGAGTATGAGAAACAAAGGTATAAGAAATATGAAAAACCTTTCAAAAAGGAAAGAATAGCGTACATAAATGATGTATATGAGACAGATGATATGACAGAGAATGATATTGAAGAAACTGTCGATGAGAAAGTAAACATAGCAGAACTCAAAGTAGGGGCTCCATATACTTGTAAATTGCTACAAAAAAATGAAGTAAAAGATAAAATGGCAAATCGAACATATACTTTTGATGTAACAAAAGCAGACAAAATCTTTGATATTTTATTGAAAGACAAACAGATTAAGTTGAGTGATGATCATAAACTACCGTCTGCAGAACAAAGGAATGGTCGAAAATATTGCAAATATCATAATGTTTATGGACATTGGACTAACAATTGTATACATTTCAGGAACACAATCCAAGATGCGATCGACCAAGGAAGGTTGAGGTTCGAAGAAATGACAATGAAAGTTGACACGAGTCCATTCGAGGCTCAAGTAGGATACCTCGAATCCCAAACGGGCATTACCAATGATGTCCGATTAACAAATTCGACCTTTGTAGGCATGGTAGATGTCACTGAGGACATCGATCCTAAGCATGTCAGAATGGATGTATCTGAGGATGACATGGAATTTGACCTGAGTGAATTCGAGAAAGAATTTGAAAAGGAAATATACCCTCAATCAGGAGATTCTCTCATTGAATTTTTGAATAGAAAGAAGGAAAAAGACGAGGATGTGTCATTATGCCCACGTTGCAGTGCAGTTTTCGATAAATCGGCTGCCAAAGCTTTCAGAACAGAACAGATGAAGAAGATCGAGAACCAAAATAAAAGGAAAAATGACAAAGTAGATCAAACAGTCCGACCAACGATCGAAGAAAGTCAGCAGAAATCTGTTGGCTCTGGTGTTAGTGAAAATCGGAGGCAGTGGACTAGAAGAGAGATGTATCCTTCTCGAGGAGGAAGAGGTAGACTTCAAAGTAATGATGTTTTCGAAAGACTCTCGTATGATGATGGATCGACCACTAGATTCCCAACATTCCAAAGAAGATTCCGAGGAAGGCCCTGGAGAAGAGGAGGAAGGATCCCCTATTGGAATCATTACAGAAACTTTGAAGAAAATGTTGCACCAATAGAGAGTCATTATGCAAGAGAATTTTTCGATGACAAGAATGATGATACGTGGGACGAACATCAAATTGGGGTAATATCAATTTTACCTGCGGAATATGTGAGCGAATACAAAGAATACCAAGAAAAAAAAGATGCCGAGCGAGAAGATGACTTCTATTCAGAAAACATAAGGCCAAAAATAACATGGGTCACACAAACCTCATGTGAAGTTCCTCATAGAGACGCTGCTTTCATCGATCCCCCATCTGAGGAAATGAGGTTCCACTTGAA